CGTGAATCATACACATTAGAAGTATTAAGCTTGTTATCGAAAATCACAAGACAATGCACAAAAGTGACTCTTGAAACATTTCGTGCCTAGTTAATCAAGAGGTAATTCGCTCCAGCTGGCTGGTTGATCAGGAGGTACTTCACTCAATGCCAGAGAAGGTAGAGCGTTTTCCGTGGATGTGCGAAAAAATGTTGACTGCATTGATACCGACGTTCATGAGGGCAGACACTTGCCTTTAGAACCTGAACTCGGACTCAAAAGCAAGCTGCAAATAAAGAACATTCGGCATAGAAACTTGAACCGAAGCTGTGGTGCAGGTTCAATTCTGCATCGAGTATAATACCTTTCTCACTAGCCAAACGTCAAGCATAGCTTGTGAGTGTTTGGTGTCGTAGAGTAATCTAGATGAAACAGCAGCGACGAAGAGTTCCGATCCAAAACCATGCACGACAGCCGCGCGCAGTCACAACCGCGATCCCTGCTAAACCGAAGTGTCGGAGACTCGGCCAACTCGGAACTCGGCCGACTCGGCGGGTACCGAGTTGTGACTGCGTCAAGGTGTCTGGTCACGTGAGCTTACGTCTCTATAGTTTCGAAATTCGTTGAACTAAAAAGGCTGGGTTCAGTCTCCCTTTTATTATGCCTCCTCTTTACCTTAGCTCGTGTCGTCCCGTCTCTTCCCCTCTCCCTTTCGAAATTCTCTTTTTGGGAGGAAAGAGAAATAAACATTCGGTGTCAATGGTGTCAAGGTAACCCGGTTTGCGTACTCTATATATAAATATCGTTTCTGAGTCGGCAATAACTGCGCAGTATTAGGCATTTTCGGATGATTCAAAAATTATATTGAAAGAAAGCCGGTACCATTTTACACTGTTGATGTCCACCGAGTATCTGCCATATTGCACCGACGCAATCCCTAATATATATATTAGGGATTGCGTCGGTGCAATATAGCAGATACTCGGTGGACATCAACAGTGTAAAATGGTACCGGCTTTCTTTCAATATAATTTTTGAATCATCCGAAAATGTCTAATACTGCGCAGTCATTGCCGACTCAGAAACGATATTCAGGGGTGAACACGGTTCATGCACCATATATATCATGGTTGCGTCGCCGCAATAAAACAGATATTCCGTCGAAATCGGCGGTATAAAAATGTTACCGGCACAATTTTCCTGATACAACAAAAATATCGGCAGTACTCGCACGACTTTCCCGACCCGGGGCGAATATCGCCAGAATAATGTGTGCTGCCTGGGGTAATGCTTTACTTTGGCAATACAATTGGGACACACCCGTCGCGCAAACTTCGTGGCCCTGTGAAGTCAAAAAGCATCTAGAAAAATCGATTTTTTTCGTTTAATTAAATTAATCGAGCTAAATAAAGAGACTTTCATTAAAATCATAGTGACATTGCTTGATGGTGAATCCTAGGCTGTAAACCAAAATAATTCCATTACAAGTAAACTGCCAAGGTCGCCGACATGAAGATGGCAAGACGAGTTAGGTGGTTTTCAGCTTCACCGGAATGGAACATCAAATAATATATTAGTTGGATCTTGGAGTGCTTAGAATTTTAGAGTGGTTACGATAGCATCTGACACCTGTCTTTGATAAGTAGATTAAAGTGTTATATAAAGCTGGTACAGAAGTACACAGAAGTACTGCACTGGTCTAGAAAGCAGTTCAGGAAGCGCATAAAAGTAGGGAGCTCTAACACTTGCTGGCTTTATTTGCGCATGTGAGCTTTTGAATAACCCTTTGTAGCCCGTGTTGAACTCTATCTCTAAATTTGGGCTTTTGAGATTATCAATTTGTTAGTCATGGTGATGTATTGGCAAGTTCATTATTCATTGAAGCTTTGGCCTTTTGTTTGTGTTTAAATTGGCAATTAATCTTTCGTTAACGAATCCAAGTTTCTATAGAACGTTTAGTTTCCAAGCTATATAGTATATACAATCGACGCGCTTTTTATGACATTTGCCAGACGTCTCAGAAAATCCTCACTTAAAACTAATATAAAATATAATAACAATAATAATACTAATAATAATAATAATAAACTTTTATTCATAGGAATAGCAAATACATATACAGGTCTGCCTAAGTTAAGGGAGGCTTGTGTGGCATGACCTGGCAGTACAGCCCAACCCTTACAGAAACAGCAGGTCACAACAGTATAGAACTAAGTACGAAACACTCATGAAATGTTAACTGAAGATGTGTCACTTGGTGGTATTGTGAAATAACTTTTCGAATTCTTTTTGAGCCCATGGTTAGAATTAGTTAAAAATAAGTAGTCTGGTAGTTCATTAAAACTCTTTGGTACGTAAAATGACCTAATGCTTTCCCCCTAATGAGTATAGATACAAGGGATTTCATAGCGAGTAGTGTTCCTAAAAGTACATGAGGCCACCCTCCCAGTTTTAATTTCACTGCACCAAAAGTGACGAAAAACGACCGTGTGCCAGAGTCGTTTGTATCGCAGATGGCACAGCGAGTTGGTTGCTTTTCAGCTGCAGTGGAATGTACGGTCATTAAAACTTTAATTAAACCTTGCTCCATTTAAAATTTCAGAGCGCTGACTGCAGCAGCTGATACCTGGATTTGGTATCTAGCCTAGCGAGGTATATAATGGTCTAGACGTACGCAGGTCTACATACATCTGATACCTGTTATTACTTCGAGGTGAGCTTTGTCTCCCGCTTCGCACTTTTTCTCCTAAGTTGAATCTGCTGTGACCACGTTTTGTAATATTTAGCGGTACATTGAAGAATTTATAATTTCTTATATTCTGCATTTTAGGTACCAATTAGTCTTCGAGAAACTTATGCGAAAACCACAATGTGTTTTTTTTTCTTGGAGTCCAGAGCTAGATAGTGTCGTTGCGTTTTATTTTGTAACAGAAAAAAAGAGACGTGTTTAACATTATCAGTTTCTTTCGTTTGAATTATTACAGTTTTAATTATACATTCACATTTATACTGCACTTTAGAAAACTCGTTTGAATGGAGCCTTTCTTTTCCAGAAAACAAAATGGTGCGCGAACAGATATTTCATTTGTTTTTGTTTTTACTAAAGCAAAAATACATTATTTCATAGATGTTTATAGGGAAACTGAGGGGAAGGAGTTACAGTAATGGGTGGACATTATGTAAGATAATACAAGGCTGTATTTTCTTTTTCCGACGACTGAGTATTAATTATTACGACAAGCTTTGTATAATGCTTTTAAACAAAATGCGTAAAATGCTCAACGTAGCCTAAAAATGTATAATTCTAGATTCATTTTATTGAAAGAGCTATTGCCAGCACCTTTCGTATAATTAAAAATGTTAACTGTATAGCAAGAACCAAAATATTTTTTTAATGTATTGTTATTCTCACAATCGAGACAAAATGAATTTATAAAAAAGTTCACTCGTGAAAACATTTGTCAATTAAAATATTACAAATACATCGGGTTTCCTGCATAATTATCTCTGTGCAAACTGTAGAAAACATCGCTCATTGTTAGGCGTGTGTGATAAAATTTTATTTTTATTTAACTAAAACTCTGCCTGACATATTCTCCAGATTATGAAAACATCTTTCGCTGATGCCTAATAGTAGAAATGCTTTATACTAGGTTCGAACATTATTGTTGCTGTGGAGGGGACCCGGTTGTCATCTCGATTTACTGGTTAGTCGACCATCCATAAAGTGTGCGCCGAACTTAACATTTTTTCTGATAGATTGCCTTAGAACTTTTATGAATTGGCATAAAAAATACATTAGGTAAACCGTTATCAATTTCATAAAACATGTCGGGATCATCATATTTAAAATTGTTGAGTGAGACGCAATGCATGACAAGCGTATCTTTGTTAATGTTGTCACGAATGAAGGCGATAAAACGATGAATGATGAACCCAAAAAAAATTCACAGGGTCTTTTCTGTTATCCCTAAGATGAAGGGGAAAGCGCAAGCGCCGATGCATTAGAGACAGACACATGATTTGCCATGTTTAACGTTCTCTTTTTTCAGAGCTACGTTAATTAGCCAGAATAATTTCCTGAGTCATCCCCCTTAATATGCTCAATCATGCTTTTTAATCAGTAAAATTAAAGTCATAATTCTCAATGCGCTGAGTCATCCTTCTAAATGTGATGAGTCATCCTTCTCAATGTGATAAGTCAACATTTTAATTCGCTTAGTCATCCACCAAATTCGCTTTAGTTCCCCTTAATTTATTTCATTCCCCTTAATTAGCTTTGTTTACCTTCTTAATCAGCTTTGATTACTCTTACTCCTCTTTAATTCTTCTTAATTGACTTTAATTCATCTTAATTAACTTTAATTCCTCCTAATTTACTTTGATTCTTCTTAATTCACTTTGTCATCTCTATGAATTTCATTGAGTGGTCACATACACGTTTTGGTATCTTTCGTGTCGACAACGTGTTTTCGCTCAAGGACTCTGATGGTCGACTGTACGACGAGACAGATAAGACTTTCGCCTTAATACAGGTTTAATCGGCGAACTTGTGCCAGAAACTAAAAGAAGAGTAAACATAGCGACAATAGCAGCGAGCGTCACCAGCGAGCGACGGTGCGTCGGCGCGACAGCTGGCTTGCGCGAGGGAAAATGAATCGGCAAGACCGCGCTCAGCTCCGTAGCTTATCACCTTTAGTGACTTTAATGTTCGAGAAACACTCGTTTTCTCGAATATTCGACCTAGAAAGTTCGGGAGTGAGCATGGAGGAGTCTCACACGGTAAGCTCAATCTGGCATCCTTGTTTTTTCCACTCGGGGTAGGAATATACATGAATCTTCTAGACGTACGGAAAATCGTATACCTACTCGGTCATGCACGCGGCAATATTATACTATTTTGCATGCCATCAACGATAGCGCAATAATGTATATTTCGTATTCTTGATTTGAATGACTTTTGTAGTTTTTACTGTTTTCTTTGTTTACATTCTTACAGGGCTGGGAACGTACATCTTAATATGCTGCTCATCGGAAAATCCTTGGTGATAGTTTTAGGTAAGAATGTGCGTTCCTATATTTGTCACGCTTTAGAACACTTATTTGTGAGATGAGGTGTAGTAAGAGTTCTAAATGAACATTGAACATGACCTTTATTTGACGTCTACGTAAAAGCGGCCTGCCCTCTTTCTGCTTAAAGCAATGTTCGCATTAATATGTATCATAATAAACGCCATAATAAATCAATTGTGTCTTGCTTTTCTCCAATATTCTTCGGTAACAAAAAAAAATATATTTTTTTCAGTCGTACGGCAGGCTTTCTGTTGTTGCATAGTGAATATAGGTGATGAAAACATCTAAAAAAATACAGAAGCGCTAGGCAGAAGCACCTTCCGATGACGCTTGGAAACTGTGCGAATGCTATATAATTTTTTTCTTGCTTTCAGTTTTGGCCATTATTCTTCAAGATGTCGCCGGAATAAGAGTTGCGAAAAAAAGTGAAGCGAAGCGTGCAATGGAAGCCGTCAAGGACTACGCCACTATGACAAAGAACGCAATGGAGTCTTTGCCAAAAGTGCGCAACCGTAGAATGATTCCTACCGCCCCTCCCATTCCTCCAGAATTCAAGCTTCACAAATGATCAATTCAAATGAAGTACCTACAATACAACTTCTAGAAACAATGAAATCATTGGTAACAATCCCTCTAACGATATTAGAATGGAAGCCAGAATACTTAGCCATCAGTGCCGGTTCTTCTAAATCTCATGAGGTGCTTGCAAATACTGGAAATGAACACTGGATGTTCATGGCTTTCGCAGCGGCTTCTTTCTTCGATTCGGACAGCGTTCAACATGGCCGCTGAGTTGCTTTTCGAAACCCTTCACCTGACCTCACTAAACCCTCTTACTTAATGAGCATTATTTCATTTTGCTGATAAAACATGCATCAATTTGCATGTCGACTTTGTAACAAAATGGATCTTTTATATATGATCAATTGTCATCACGGATTTCTTTAAATATAATGAGGTCGAATGCCTGTGAAAATGTTTTATTTGTAAACATGTGGTAATTTCACTGCATCAAGAAAATAAAAATAAAATATTTTGTGAGCCTTTATACTTTTACCATAATGCCTGATCGCGCTACCATACAGTAGTACATTTAGAGCAAGAATTTTCTAACTATCAAATCTCAACTAAGAAAGTTCGAAATTTTTAAATCGAGCTTCAAATGCGCAGGCCAAGAAAACGTGTTTACTTAATGAAGTAAAAAACAACAAACTTTCTTTTCATGATTTACCTTAATATATGATCATTATGTTGCTTAGACACCTTAAACCTAAACTTCATCAGTTCCCCATACTAAACATCAACGAGGTCGTTTTATTATTCTGATCATTAATATAGAAAATGAGAATTTCTTCGCCCATACGTAAAATTTTGGAAAGAGCCAAGATTCGCCAAGAAGGGTCAGTGTGTTAAATAAAATTAATGTTGCTAGGACTCAGTAATATTTGTATTGGTCGCTGATGAAATGTCTAGAATATTGTGAAGCGTTGCTTCTAAATTGTACCCCCAGGCAAGAGAAAAATCAATTGAAAATGTAATTTTAAAGAAACAAAAAGCGGACATTGTGTTCAGTCTTCGTATTTCCGCAATGGACTTTGCAATCAATATGCGGCCCTTTGAATTGTGCGCGGGACATCTGACACTCCTTCCTTTTGCATGCCTAAGCTAAAATTTCTGATTACAAATAAGGTACCATTTTTGCTTAATAACTTGTCTGTTACAAGCGTTGACTATAATTATGGTAAGGCGATATACAGTACAACACAATAGAATGTATATTTATTTTGCCTTTGAATATCATACAGTGCAAGGCCCACAGAAGCCAAAGAGGCTTCTACATGGGACGCGGCACGTGTCGCTGCACTTTTTCATAAAAAATAATAACTTAAAATTCCAGTTACAGGTTCTGGACGCCTAAAATAACGAACCAGTTAAATATGCAAATCATCTTCCCCTCAATTTTAAGGGGGGAATAGTTGGTGCAAAAGAATTTGTCATTTGGCTCACCCGGGAGGTCAATTTCTTTGCTAAATTTAGGAGGAAATTTACGTCACATTACCACGTCACGTAACCAAATCAGTGACGTCATCTTAATTCAAGTCACGTGATCACGGGAAAAAGTCGAGCACGTTGGTTACACATATTTAGGAGACACCAGCTGAACAAACCTACCATACAAATGTGAAGAGAACGAGAGAGACGCATTCAACCGCTGGACTACCAACTTCATTTAATGAAACACTTCATCTTCATCAACAGGCTAAGATCAATCCAAACCTAGCACGGCCTCACCTCTTCCTTTTTTTTTCATTTTTAAACGAGGGCATCCTGCTCGTCTGTCTACTTGTGGGCGGTATTTCCACCTCGCAAGAACGCCCTCTTCTCTGGTTAAAGTCACAGACGGTGAACTAACACACGTGTTCCCTTTCTCTTCTATGCTTAAAGCTTCTAACACCTCACGTGCAAACCGGTTTCGATGGTGCCCCATGATGGAAACTTTGTCTAAGTTTGCCTTGCACTAGCAGTCACGGCAATGTAGGGCTAAGTGACCTGCTGCCGTCAAGTTCTTTAATCTATTGGCATGTTCCCGAGTCCTATCGCCGCCCGGTCTGTCCAATGTAACAGCGGCCGCATGTCAGGGGTATGTGGTATACAATCTCCTTGTCACACTGGGCATAAACGGTCCTGCGAGTGGTGCCACACCCATTGCTGTTGCTGGTTTGGCCCTAATTGACCTTGCGGCCCAACGAATAGGCCTTATTTGGCGCCGAACACAGCCCTTGTACCGCATGCTGGTTTGTCATCTTTTTTAACCTATGGGTAATCCCATGAATATATGGGGAAACCACAAGCGGTCTTTTTGTCTTCTTTTGCTGTTTGGAAGTGTCGTTGCGTCCGCATGCCGTCTTGATTCTGCGGCAAATTCTCTCGCACACGGAGGCAACTATATGTCGTGGGTAGCCTGCGTACTCGAGTTAGGGTATTTGTAACTCGACGCTTCGGGATGCTCACATGATTTTTTCAGGCTAGAAAAAACGGCTGTGACAGCTACTGCCTGCTTAACAATTTTCGAATGCTGCGACGAGAAGGCGAGAAACCCTTTGCCTGAACGGGTTTGATATCTCCAGCAAACATGGCCTGCTCTGAACTCAAAAACCAAATCAAGAAACTTGATGGTCTTTCTGACTGGAAGTTCATGCGTGAAAGTGAGCCCTGTTCTACTTCAAACCACATGGTGTCAATTTCTGCGAGGTGATTCTGCGAGGGAGTAGTTTGCGTTCTAAAACATTCTGCGCTTCCCGGTGTTTGTGAGCATGATTAAACTTGAGTAATATTCCAATGCACAAAGAAATATTGCAGTTGTTTATTGCTTTATTATATGCCTTTAATGCGAAGGCATTGTACGTGCCATTACGCGAAAATACGGTGGCGTCGGAGGCGTGGCCGAGCGTTGGTACCGAAAATGGCCGACGGCTCAAAGAGTAAAAACAGGTAAAAATGCTCGAGTTGACGTCAAAGTTCTCGGGGAGGTTGCTGTAAACAGAGTAAACTAATGGCTTTGAAAAAAAATTGTGGTGCATTTGGGTTTGGATGGGAATTGACCCGGGGCCTCCGGGGTGCGAGACAGCGTGCTTCCCCGACACCACGACGGCTCAACAGTTCTGGCTCCACACACGGCAGCGACGACATGGAGACAGCCCTAGTAAAAATGCAACGAATAAGTATATTTCACGTCTATGTAGATCACAAATTGGCGTTGGCCAGTCGGCGTGGAGGCGTACACTTGTATACCTTGTTTCACCAATAGGATGGCCCGCTAAGGACGCTACGAGCCACAGGAGTCAATTTATAGCTCGGAGGGAGTCAGGTATCCTTCCGGTTGGGCGGAGCGACGCGGGGAGCCCTTAGTCACGAGACAAGCAGCGAACTACGGATTGGCCCCTGTAGCTTGTGGCGTCCATCGCGGTACGTCGCAAAGTGAACATGAGTATTACTTAATATGCGGAGAGTCTAAAGAGTTATTTGTGCGCGCGCTCGTGTGCCTCATTTTCTTGCTTCAAACCAAGATTTCTCAAAGAAGGATACAGCAAACATAGGCGTGGAAGTAAAAAAAAAATGAAAGCCGCTTACAACTGCGTGTAACACCGAATTGTGCAGCTCTTGAGGAAGAGGAGGGAAGGGTACTGAGGGGGGCGTATACACCTCCTCCCTCCTCCTCACGTCGTCATCCTGCCTGCTACTCCTCCCTCCGAGCGGCGTCGGCGTCGCCATCGCCGTCGGCGTAACGGTGAGGTCACGTGACCCTCGTGACGTCATGTGACTTTCGTGACCTCAGGGGGCTCACGTGACGTCACCGGGGTCACGTGACTTCACGGGGGTCACGTGGCGTCACCGGGGTCACGTGACCTCACGGGGGGCACGTGACCTATCTGGGGTCACGTGAACTCGCGGGGGTCACGTGACCTCACGTGGGTCACGTAACCTCACGGTTACACCGACCGCGACGGCGACGCCGACGCCGCTCAAGACTGAAACGGGTGCCTAAGAGCTGTGCCCTAAAAGTTTGCGGCTGTTGGTGCGTTTTTTTTCCGCGGTGACGAAAGCTGGAGGCACAAAGAGGCAAAGCCGCGACCAGCGCGACTTTTCGGCGTCATTCGCCTGAAGGCTGGTCGGCCAGAGCCCTGCGCCTTTTTGTCTTAATCGTCTCTAGACGGGCCTTTGTTGTCTTTCTCCTCTACAGCTCAGTCGTTCGTAAATCAAGCGCGTGTTGCTTTTTTCTCTGAAATCCAGGGCCCTCAAAAAAATTAATAAATAAATAAAAGAACTTTATTACATATTTTTTTATTTAGGCATACTGCAGGCTTTCTGTTGTTACCTTAGGTGACTACAGGTGATAAGAATATCCTAAAATAAATGCAAAAGCGCTAGACCGAAGCGCCTTCCGATGATGCTTAGAGTTTGTGCGAATGCTTTATAATTTTTTTTTTGGCTTTCAGGTTTGTCTATTATCCTTCAAAATTTCGCCAAAATAAGTGTTGCCAAAAAGAAAAAAAAGAACTGAAGCGAAGCGTGTAATGAGAGCCGTCATGGACTACGTTCTTAAGACAGAGAACGCAATGGAGCCTCTACAAAAAGTACGGAAGTCCAGAATGATTCCAACCGCACCCCTCCCAATCCCCCATTGATGCTTCACAAATGATTATTTCGATTGAAGTACTTACAGGACAACTTCTGGAAATAATAATGCCCTTGGATAGTAGCAGTACCTCTAACGATGTTAGAAGGGGAGGTAGAATATTTAACCATCAGCGCCGGTTCTTCCGATTCTCGTGAGGTGCTTGCAAACGTTAGAAAATGACACAAGAAGTTAATGGCTATCACAGCGGCTTTATTCCGATTGGTACAACGTTCAATATCGCCGCTAAGTAGCATTTTGAAGCTTTTCACCCGACCCGACTAAAACTTCTTTTTAGTGCGAATTCTCTCATTTCGTTGATAATTTTATTATGTATATACTTGCCATGTCTAGTTTGTAACAACACGGGTTTATTATATATGATTCCTTAT